AGAGCTCTTATTTATCTTATTTATTTTCCTGGTACCGCATCAGGCCCTCACACTGTGGATCTTTCTATTCAACCCCCACCTCCCCCCGATTCCGAGAAATGATGGGGCGCTACTTCCACCTCCTAATATGGTCAAAAGTAGTTGAGACTTACATAAGCTGGAGAGATCAACATGTTTTGGATCACGTAATCAGCAGCTGGGCTGCCTGATAAGCAAGGAGTTGCACCGCACGTGTGCGGCTAGAATTGATAAGCAACATGTCAACATGCACGTACCACCCACACAAGGAGCTCCCAAACCTCGGCTCTGCTTTTTGCACTCTCCAAGTGCTCAAACTGAGAGCCATACGCAGCCTCTCGCTGCAAACTCAAGACGTCTTCTCACAGGCCTCACTACTGCTTTGCAAACACTCTTAAATTTGTTACTCCTCGAGGACGAACCGAACTCAGCAAAGACTTCAACTTCTTATACAGGCCTCTTTTTCTCTTTTTACTTTGCCACAAACTCTTATTAAATTTACCAATCCCCAGGGGAAAAGACCGAATTACAGGCAAAGCTCATTTCTCACAACTTCAGCGCTTTTTCTTCAGGATCCCCGTCTCTGCTCTTACCGAGTCAGGAGACTGGATTTCTCAAAACCTTGTCAGCTTTTCAGATTCTATTCCAATGATCTGCTGTCCCACCTTTCAATTTGACACTTAAAATTTGTCCGTCATCAAAATGACACAGCTGACTTCACACGGTGTGAATATTTTACCACTGTCAGACATGAATCCTCTCTCCAACTGATATTTATAGTATTATCAGAACAGGAGAACACCCCTGCCCAGTGACAGAGGCCACAAAAATGAACAAAAACATGCTCACCTGGGCCCTTAGTACGGACCTCAGCCACTGGACAGGAGCCAAGGGATGCCACGGAAAGTCCTCGCTGTTCACACATCTGAGGTGCCAAAATGTGGGCAATTTCTGTTATTCTTAAAGAAAAGAGTCGAAGAGAGTTTTTCAGTCGAGAACAGCGTGGTCTTTTATTTGTCTTCTCACATCTCAGGACAGCCGGAAAGACCCCGACAAAAGAGTGGTTCCCCTTTTTATAGCTCACAGCCTTTGAACATTCATTAGTCAACCGGCGAGAACCAGACCATATTTGGTAAACTGTGGGTGGAGACTTCTGTCTGGGACACAGCAACACATCAAGTATTTTTAGCAAGTCAGATAAGCTTTAAGCAGTTTTACTGGAAGCAAGCAGAGACCAAAACAGGAAATTCCTTCGGAGCTGATGTTGGAACAGCACACGAACTCTAGCCAGAAAACACTTTCAACCTAAGAACTCAACTTTAACTCAATACATTTTGTACATGACCTCTTGACCTTTTTGGCGCCAACAAAGAGAGTCCTACCACTCTGATGGAGATAACTCAGTTTTTAGACCCATATCAGGATGTTTTTCATGAATTGTACAGGTTGTGTAAAATAGCTGTTGTTTTACCAGTAAGCAGTGCATCCTGTGAACGAAGTTTTTCAACTCTCATGGCTCATAAAGGCCTATTTGCGGTCTGCTATGACAGAGGAGAAAGACTATCAAGCTTGGCTGTACTCAGCATTGAATCTGAACGGGGGGCAAAATCTTTGGATCTTGATGAGGTTTGTAAAGTGTTTTGCTGAGCAACATGGAAACCGCCGACATTCAGCTGTAGGAAGGACATAATTTTATAATATGTTTTTATTTTTGTGATGGGCCTTTAAGCTTATTAAATGAGCACCCAAAACAAATGAATATGTAAATACTGGGAAAAGATAAAAGAAAACATGTTTCTGAGTGAACAATAAAACCAAAGTACAATATCCCGTTGCAGTGAAATATTTCTTTACACACAGTGCAATTAGATTTACCTTGGTTCCTCTCTCTCTCTCTCTCTCTCTCTCTCTCTCTCTCTCTCTCTCTCTCTCTCTCTCTCTCTCCTCTCTCTCTCTCTCTCTCCTCTCTCTCTCTCTCTCTCTCTCTCCTCTCTCTCTCTCTCTCTCTCTCTCTCTCTCTCCTCTCTCTCTCTCTCCTCTCTCTCTCTCTCTCTCTCTCTCTCTCTCTCTCCTCTCCTCTCTCTCTCTCTCTCTCCTCTCTCTCTCTCTCACTCTTCTCTCTCTCTCTCTCTCTCTCCTCTCTCTCTCTCTCACTCTCTCCTCTCTCTCTCTTCTCCTCTCTCTCTCTCTCTCTCTCTATATATATATATATATATATATATATATATATATAAATAATCTCTGTGTGGGTATGTATTGCCCACCCCAGAAAAAATGTTTGCCCCTCTTCTGCCACCCCATAAATAATTTTCTAGATCCGCCCATGCCTAGGACTGTACATTATATCAATAATTCCTCTGTACTTTTGTTTTTATTTGGATTTAGCAAGTCTATATTGAAATCTCCACAAATAAACACTCCCTTCTGGTACAAATTTGTAAATATCTCCTCCATTTTATTCTTAAATGTTTCAATCTTAGAGCCTGGTGTTCTATATATACAGCTTACTAATATGTTCTTCTTTTTTTCCATGCTTATTTCTACAGTTACACATTCTATCACTCCCTCAATAGTAGTCGTCATCATTTCTGCTTTTTTGTAATTTTGATTTTGGTCAATATAAGTGCCACTCTTCCTCCTTTTGTTCTTAATCTGTCTTGGTGGATAAAGTCATATCCATGCAATTCAAAATTTCCATTCCTTTTTATGTGTTATCCATGTCTCTGATATGGCAATGACAGTAAATGGTTTCTTGAATTGTGCTATATATTCCTTGATGGTGTCAAAATTTGCATATAAGCTTCTGCTATTGAAATGAGCCATTGTCAAACTATTTTCTGACTTCATCTTCCTATTGAATTGTTCTTCATTGTAATAATATTACATTCATGTATTTCATTATTAAAGAAATTGTAAACAGGATCAATATTGCTGTCAAAATCCCAAAACCTTTCTTTACAGCCTATATTTGTGTCAATATGTAGTTCATTTGTCATCCTGTTAATTATAAATTTCTAATCTCCCTCACACTAATCAAGTTTCAAATCCAAATATCATTGAAAGATCAAGTCCCCAAATGAAATTTCATTATCCTCATATTTTAATCTACACATTCCATTCCTCTATCCCATCATCTCTTTTACTGAAATTGATCCAAATCTTCTAAACTTTTAATCACCAGTATATTTGCTTCTTCTGGAGTTGCATTCAATTTAACAAAAATTTTACAATTTGCAGTCCAGGTACCCTGGATCTTTTTCTGCTTCCTCAGAAAACGGGCTTTCTTTGCAATTTCTGCATTATACTTTGTCAGATGCTCATTTACATAGACCTC